CAAGCTCCTTAACATGTGCATTGCCTCACATACTTATTTTTTTGTGGTATGAACACATAAAATCTACTCTGTCAGTAATATTCAAGTCTACAATACATTGTTATTAACCATAGTCACCATGTTGTACAATAGATCTCTTGAAGTTATTACTCCTATCTAACTGGAATTTTTTTCATCTTAACCAAGACCACATGAAATAATTGAGAAACTGAATGTGATATTTATTTCTACAATATTTCTCCTTCAAGAGTTTAAAGTTTTCAACTGTTAATTCTGGCAAGGATGATAGCCAATGACATATAAAATTGGTTGTTTTCTAGTTAGTCATTTTTATTTGCAATAATGAACAATTACTTAGTGATTTTGATCAAATCCTGTCCCTTACAAATTAGCTGAGTACCTTTGGACAAGCCATTTAACTTCCCTGTGCCTCCCTTTCCTCATTGAGTAAGATGGGGATAATAATTGTAACTGTATCTCATAAGAATGTTGTGAAGATTTAAAGGGGAATACATACAAGTGCTTAGAAAAGTGCCTAAAAGGAATGATACGCTAGAATGCTGGCTTGGGAGGAGAGGGGTGGAGTGCTTATTTGTAGCTTTCGCCAACTTCTATGAAGTAAATGTTCCCACTGCAGCAAATTTCAAGCTACTAACAATTTAACCATCAGCATGAGCCAATAAAGCTCTGGCACACCAATGTGGCAGTGTAAGTTTCTAACAAATGTTCATTTTTATCATTACTAAATCTAAGGTCCTTTTTCATTTTATCGATGTATATTTTCATGAATTGTACAAATGTTCAAGGAGGGACGAGTTTAGAGAGATAAATGGAGGGAAAAACTTAGGAATTGCAGCAGTTAGCAAAGCTTTGAGGAAGATTTCAGAAGTCATCTGAGCCTGTTTGGACACATGGGCATTGAGTATTTGGAAGGGAGAAGAACACATACAGTAAGTCTTAATGTCATCAATAGGTTCTTAGAAACTGCAGGTTTAAGCAAAATGGCATGTAACAAAACCAATTTTACCACAGGCTACATGGTAGAAACAAGACTTAAGTTCCTATGGCATATTTCTGGTCTCAAAAACATCATCAAACTTTTAATAAAGACCAAAACGTTTCTAATATTAAACATTGAAATAAATGTGAGCTGTGCATACATTTAAGAAAGAGTAACAAAAACAAGTGAGATAATTATTTACTCAGTGATTTCAGTTCAAGGGCATGGGTGGCCAGAGCCTATCCTGGCAGCTCAGGATGCAAGGCACAAACTGCCACCAGACAGGATGTCATCCCATAGCAGGGGGCATTCAGACACACACACAGACACACACACACACACAGAGTTACTCAGACTGGGACCATTTGGACATGCCAGTTTACATAACATGCAGTACATGTTTGGGATGTGGGGGGAACCGGAATATCCAGAGAAAACCCTTGCAGACTTAGGGAGAATGTGCTAACTCCACACAGTGGCCCTGGACGGGAATCTGTTGTTTTTCTCATCAACATTATAACAAGATGTTGTGGAATGAAAGGATGTTGTTGGAGGACCCGCTATATAAGTCATTTCAGTAGTAGTCTTGGGAGAAATTTGTGGGGACCCAGTGGGGAGACAGAATCAGAAAATGTGTGTACTAAAAACATGCGGATACTGAAGTGAACTTGTGATGCCTAAATGAGCTTGTGATGCTTAGATGAACTTGTGATGCCAAAAACTGATTTCCTGCTAGTGCAATCATATCTCTTTTTGAAGAAGAGAAACTGTTTTGGTTAGAAAATTTTTTTTGTAAGAGTGTGAGAAGAAAAAGTACTCACTGAAGCTAGTGCAAGTCGGGGTAGAGGGAGGACAGTTCCTGTAAGGATGTGTATAAATGGATTTCCAGGAAACTAAACTGCCACATGTCAAGAAGAGCAGCTGCCTGAAGGTACTTGTAGATTCAAAGCTGCCCTAGGTTCCCTATCAGCACTGATTCATGAGTTTTGCATCTAGTTTCTCCTGTTCTTACCACAACTTGGCTACTCTGTCTTCTCTGCAATAAACAATTTCTTCACTCTCTATTCCATATGTTTTAAACTTGTCTTATTATTTTTGTTCCCTCATACATTGCTTCATAGATTACCCAATCCAAAAAGAAAGAAAACAGAGAAAGAAAGAAAAACGAGAGAGAGAGAGGAAAGGAAGAGAGAGGAAAGAAACAGAGAAAGAAAGAGAAAGAAAGAAAGAAAGAAAGAAAGAAAGAAAGAAAGAAAGAAAGAAAGAAAGAAAGA